TCTTCTACCTCACGTCTTTTAAAAACTCTAATAGGGTGTCTTTCTCTTCTCCATTGCACCAATACAGAAGGCAGAAATGATGAGGAAAGTCATTATGTGTATCCATGTGTGCATGAATGTGTGTAGAAAAATCACAAATTATGTTTGTAACGTTTATAGTGCATGTATATACATGAATCTACATCAAATTAGGTAAATGATCTAAAATGAGTGCAATTTTAAAATAAGTTTATAAGCTTTTGCTGTCTTAAAAATTAGAGGTACCTCTGTAGCCGCCCATATCCAATTTCATACTACAAGGTGATGTAAGACTCAATACTCCACCCAGTTCTATTAACACTTTATGTTGAATCATGGTGGGACCAAATGTGTATGTAGCTCATCTATTTCATCTGGATAAGAGCTCAGGGCCTTAAGTCATCATTTTCTTCTTGGCCACCATTTCCAGCTAGCCCATACATCATCAGGTAGCCTGCACTCCAGCACCACCCTGTCATACCTTATAATTGGGACTTATACCAGCAGTCCTGAATGTATTAATGCAAATTTCTCCTCTTCCCTCTTTCTGTTCTCATCTCCAATAATGCTAAGCTCTCTCTCCCTAGAAATCCTCTCCTACTTTATCTGTTCTTCACTTGACCAACCACTCTATCTTTATTTCTTTACAAAAATGTTTCTTTTCTCTCCTTTTGGACTCTACACTCATCGAGGATAATAACCTTTATCAGATTGACTTTTTTCAGGTTTATTTTTAATTCCTTAGCCTATTGCAGTTCCAAGAATGCTGTACATATTAAGTAAATATTCGTTGGATGAATAAACGAATAATGTGTTAACATCGTGGTCAGAAATATCTTTCTGGCCATTTGTCATTTTCAATAATGAAACCATGATATCTCCAAGATGGATTGGCTCTTAAATAAAATAGTAAGTTCCTAAGCTGAGTAGATTCAGATCCAAATTTGTGAAAGACAACCACCACATTTATAATGTTAACATGTTAAAGGAAGTATTTTGAGTTTCACAACTGGAGTCTCTCTCTCTCTCTCTCTCTTTCATCTCTCTCTCTCCCTTCTCAGTAACAGATGTCAACCTTGGTTAGATTCATCTCAATTTATTAGTGCATGGCTTTTAGCCAAAAGCAATTCACATTTTTAGAAGTGTACTATCACATATGTCTTAATAACATAAATGTGTTTTTTTAATGTATGTGATACGTCACATATGGTAGGAGAAATTTGTATCTCTCTTAGGTCTTGCTGTCACAATTAAATCTTAGATATGATTACTACAGAAATTTACCATACAAGTAGAAAAGGCTCTCCTTCCAACACATTACAGTTTTGTGGTTTTTAACATCATAATTAAGCTTTGTTGCCAGTGTGGTTCTAGTATATTGAGAAATCTGCCAGACATAATATGCCAGACATCTCTTGTCCCAATCATCTTAAGAACACTGACTTTTGAATCTTAACCTGAGGTAATATTTAATATTCAGCATAATGTTATTAGTGTATCCAGGTACATTATGTGCTTACTTTCCTGAGGTATATATTTAGTTTCTCTCTAATATGGGGTATAATTAATAAGTATCATAGATTTCCTTTGGTGAGGAAAGAAGCTTATAACCAGGAAGGTATTAAAAATGAGTTGAACAAGTAGTTGAGGGGCACTAGAGAAGGGGAGGTAAAACTTTAAAGAGGAAAACATATAAACTAAGTGGATATTGGAGGTGATTTGCCCTTACCCCAATTGAAAAGTACTTAATCTTACAACTGAAAGTAACAGAATTTCAGAAAATGCATATGCTTCTTGCAATCTGTACACAATTGGGAAGCCTAGTGGCATGCTCAACATAGATTTTTACTGGTTTCTAAGGCATCCTGGCCATCAATGGATCATATATCTATTGGATGTTTTAGGAAGCTAGTGTCTGCTCAGAATGAGGTAAAATAACATCCCAAGAAAAGTCCTGAATAGACAATAAGGGCTCACTACAAGTGTATCCATTGTTTTGACGACAAAAAAGAGAAAGTGTTGATTAGTTTAACCTTTAGTGTCATGAAAAGGCTTAGTGCCTTTTCAACCTGACTTGATAGACCAGTAGCCAGCAAACTTTCCTTACAAGGTGCCAGATGGTAAATGTGTTTGCTTCTGCATACTACAAAAATCTCCACGACAAATATTCCACTCAGCCATTATGCCATAAAAGCAGCCACAGATAAGATGGAAGTAAGTGAGTATGGCTGAGTTACATTAAAAATTTCTGTATACATACTGACATGTAATATTCTTATTTTGATTTCCAACCATTTGCCAAAATCTACACCAAGCGACTATATAAAATCACAGTAATGAACATCTTCACTAATCTATGTTCAGGCTTGAATTATTAGTGATGCCACCAGAACTTGATTTTTTTTTTAGTAAGTTGTGCAAACTTTCCATTACAAACTCCAAATGGAACCAATGTTAATTCTTTTAAGAACTAGGTTACAAGCAAAGCAGATGGAAAGAACTAGAGCAACGTAGAAACATTTTTATGCAAGATATAAGTAAAAAAAAAAGAAAGAAACAGACACTTGTTGATACGGGCATTTTAAACACACAATGTGACAGTTTACTAGTAAAGTAGAACTACCAATGCTATTAAGCCTCCAGGTCATTTTTCTAGAAGGACTTTTTATGCGACATGTATCTGATAAGCTTGTGTTCATTCATTCAGAAAACATGGATTGATCCTTTGCATTATTAGGAGATCTCAGCACAGTGTATGTAACCAAAATTTTCTGGCAGGTTATCAGAAATGACAAGAAGATCATTACAAATAAAACGTTCAAAAGTCTTTGTCTATGCTGTCAGACAGTTTTAATGGTGTAGAGTTTCTGTCCCAGAGCTGAGGTTATAGGGAAGCCTTTCTTAAAATGCTGCACAAGCTGGGTGCTGGTGGCTTATACCTGTAATTCTAGCTATTCAGGAGGCTAAGATCTGAGGATCGTGGTTCAAAGCCAGCCTGGGCGGGAAAGTCCGGGAGATTCTAATCTCCAATAAACCACTAGAAAACCGAAATTGGTGCTGTGGCTCAAGTGGTAGAGCACTTGCCTTGAGCTATAAAGCTGAGGGATAATGCCCAAGTCCGGAGTTCAAGCCCCATGACTGACAAAAAAAGAAAAAAAATGCTGCACAAGTTGGTTCACTACTGTAAGTACAAATGGAGCAGTATAGGAAAACTAACACTTAGAACACTACCTTCAATAACTGGAAGACAATTCTAAATAGTTACCACTTAGTTATGATTTACCTTTATCACTAAGCAGCCTATCAAATATATTTCAATGTAGAAAGCTTCATAACCCTTTAACTCTTTCAGTCTTCCTGTCTTCTTTTTAAAACATCCCTTAACATGTTAGAGATTAGATAGACGCTGCAGTACAAATTAAAAATATTAGACGCTGCAGTACAAATTAACAAGAACTTATATGCAGTACAATGATAAGATTATAGGCTCAAATGCTCACAAAGGAACAAAAATAGAGAACTGGTCCCACTTCTGATGTATCAGAGCCCAGTGTTGATGGGTTTTCCTGTGCAGGCAAAGATGGAATTTGGGTTTTACTTCCTATTAGGTGAGCTTAAACATGGATCCATTTGTCCCACTGACAATCTAGATTCATGTCCCCTCAGCCCCTGCCCCACCCTATTGTGACCTGAGGCACTTATTGGCATGCAGACAGACTGGAAGGAAGAAGTGCAGTTGTGCAGAAGGAAGATCATTAATGGCCCACCCAGGGACTAAAGCCCTGGCCCTGGCTTCATTAACACTGCTCTCTAATCCAACAGCTCTCTAGCTACACACTCATAGCGGAGGAGCCTTCAGGGCATAAGGACAAAAAAAATAAGAAATCAGGCTGCAGAGAAAATTTCAACCCCAAGCAAATAATCCAATGAAAACTTCCTGGTAAAAAATATTTCCATAGGAACACTACATCACATACTTTCAAACTGCAGATGCACCTCCCAAGGCTACAGAGGCTTGATAGAGGATATGAAATGACCTAAGAAAAACTAAAGTCAAATAAGAAGTGCATAATACCCTTTAGAAAAATCTGTTAGGGCTTGGATTTAATGGTGTGCTCAATACTACTCTCATGCCATGAAAAAATTCTTTCTTGTACCCACCACAAGCAGCTTTCTTAGTTTTCAGCATTATTTGATCCATTCTCTCAGAAACTTAAAAAAAATCAATACAGTCTCCCTTTCAGCATTTGATATCACACATAATGATAGTTGATTAGCAAAAAAATCACATATGCTTCTCAGATATGTAATATTACTCGACCTATAATAAGCCAGCAAATAGAGCAAGTCTATCATTGGTCACATGTGACAAAATAGTGTTCCTTCTTAACTTGAAAGTCTCCCTTCTGGAAGAGACAGAATGTGTCAGATGCTTATTTATAATTTAAGATTGTTTCATAAAATGCCTTAGAATTAGCCCTTAGTTAGCTGACAAATGCTCAGTTAAATATATTTTTATGAGCTTTTCATGAACAGAGTAGTGAAGCATTGGTGCCAAGGTGAAAAATCTCCCCATGCGGGAGGAGATCACTTGGCATACTTTTAGCCATTTACATGTCTGTCATAGGTCCAAGGTTTGCAATTAAAAATGTAATCTGTTTAGCATGTGCAAAACCCAATGGCTTCAAGTAGTATTCATTGAAAATGAGTCTAATAGTATTTGGCAGCTATTTGTGGAGGGCACATATTAATTTATGTAAACTGGGTGCAACTTGGGGCACTATCTCATTGGGGACACAGGGAAATACACAAGTTGGTCTTTGCTCACTAGGGGTTGGGTTTTCTTTTGCTTGGTTTGTTGTTGAACTAAATTGTCATGAACTGAGATCATGTCAAAATTGAAGTCTCTTCTGTGACCTTATTTTTTTATATGCACACAGCTCACTAAAATTAACAATTTCAGCTAATAAAAATGTACTTACTTCACAGGATTATTCTTAGGTTTTGCCTTTTCAACAGCCTGTGAATAGAAGAAAAACATGCAATTAGACAACATTAGCCAGGCATAATTTTTGCAACTACTAACCAAAATAATCAACAGTATAAAATGCTCTTCAGAAACACAAGGAGCTAACTGAAGAAGGCTACTGGAGATAAGCAGAGTGGAAACCTAGAAAGAGCAATGGTCTTTTCCCAGAGAATGGCGTTACCTGTGTTAGTGAAGCTTTCAAACATAGACAAGCATTGTCAGGACTTCTGATAAAGTCCAGCAGGGGTTATTCAAGTGGGCCCTTGAGTGCTCAAGTTGATCCTCCCGGCCTACCTTCCACTTTTACCTCACACAACTTAAGTCCGACTGAGTTGGAACGACAATGTGGGATGGCAAGTGCATAGGAATGGTGTAGTCCTATCCCAGACTTCAGTGTGCATTTCCCAAGTCACTTGTACTAGCAGACACACAAAAGGATAAGAAACCACCTAATACTGAGAGCAACTTTCTCCTATGGAATCTTTAAGAAAACACACACCAGATCTTGAAATGAGGAAATATCTGGGCTCTCAGCCTGCGTCACCTTAGCCATGAAGCCTGGTTCCAGTTTCTTGCTGAACCCATTGATCTGTGTACAGTCCATTTATCATTCATGAAAAGAGCTAGTGATCTTCACAGTATATTAGAAGAAACAACTCAGATCATCTGTCAACAGCCCTCTTATTTCTGTTTCCCTCTCCACAGGGATTTCATCTCCTTCGATTCTTGTGGAATTAAAATGTTGCTAAGCAACACAGCTGGGGGCGCTGATGGCAGAATGGCTACAGTCTATCAAACTGTTTAAGCACCTGGAGGGTTTAGTGATGATTTTTTTTTCATATTTCTCAAGCATAATTATGTAATCAGAACCAAACTTGTATTCCCCTAGACTTTTTCAGGCTATAGAAATAACATTTAATATGGAGAGCATTGAAGCAGTTTGACAACCTCACACTTGTTTAGTACCTTTAAAAATATGGATTAAGTGATTTTACATTGTGAATTTTGGAGGTAGTGGAGGTACGTACGAGCTAAGGGGAAGGGATGCAGATGTAAATAAGAATGTAAAGGTAATTGCCTCTTAACACAGAAAATACATAAGCATACACTACGCATCATCTTACAAGTGCTAAGAGATTCAGCATTCTGAATCCCTCTGTGCCTACCAACCCCATGAACTTAATAGCAATAAAAAGATGATACACTTCCCAAGTTTACACATTGGAGTCAGAAATGTAAGTTTTTCTGATTTATTAAGTCTCAGGTTCTGTTGTTAGATAAATAGCTATTAATATTTGGGCACTTTCTTTGGCTTGGTAGATAGGAATCATTTTCTCACCATCTGTGTGAGGTTGAATTTTGGCAAGTGTTAGAATAAGAAGAAAGCTGGGGAATGAGGGAACAGATGAAAATGAGTAAACAAGAAATGTGTATCTGGCTGCTTTAAATCACCTGTCATCTATATGTACAATATGAAAGCTAGTCTATGTAGAGGATGCTACCACCACTCTCTATATCGATTCTGCCAGATTACATGGAGAAAGGAAGAGGTTGATGCTTACCAGAATCAGCTTACCTGGAGTACTGCTGCTCAATCTACACAGGCACACATACTCACATCTGCCTTTTATTACCATGTTTTCTCCCCCAAATTTGAGTGTTTTAGAATAAGAATCAGTATGGATTTTGGACACATCACTGTCAAAATGATATAAATTTACTTTTTCTTTCAATCTCCCGAAATTCAAACAAATATTTTCTAGAAGACTGAGGTTATCATAAAATAATGGGGAGCATGTTCAAGTACTTTCCCTTTAAAGTATGCTGGATATGATGAGCATGGTTCTGGCAGAAGATGGGAGGAGAGAAATTAAAGTGACATTGCTTAACCTAGCTTTGATTCAGACACATGCTTTTCGAAAATGACCTCTCCATATTTTAGACCTATTAGACCCAGTTCTTTTTCTGTGATCAGGAAGAACATTATTACGTTTGAACCTAGTTTCTTAGAGCCATTTCTCTTTTTATACAGCTATCATAGGAAAATAAGTTCAAATTATTTTTTTTCTAGGTTGCTTGGCTATTGATTAAAGCTGTCTATGCAGATAAGTTTACTTTTCTTTGGAAATTAACTTACAATCATTCTGACATCATCACAGCTGTAGTCAGCTCTACTAATGTCATCCTCCTGCATGCTTATAACCATGAATTTCCTGACTAAATAGTGACAGGGAGCTTCAGTTAGACGAGGCACAGGTTACGATTTATCTTCTTCATTTCTACCACAATTATATATACTATTGTGTTCAGAGACTTTGAAAAAATAAAGTTTTGGGTATAAATGATATATGCCTTTAAGGCATAAAAGAAGCAGTCTACAAATTATACAAGAAGCAAAATTCCCACCCCCTTTGGAAGAAGGGACTTGAGAATATAATCCTGTTTCAGATACATTTGGTCCAATCTGAGACCACACACCAAATGAGGCAAATTAAAAGGAAATGAAATGGTGTAACTTGAAAAGCATTAAGAAGGTAATATATTGAGATTATACCTACATTCAAGTTGAAAATCATACAATAAAGTAATTTAAAAGAATTGAAAAGTGGAGAGCAGAGAGTTTACAGTTATACTACTCTAATTTATTATGTCTATAGGCTTTGAAAAGCCTGTTTTGTGCCCTGCTTACTAACATGATTCTTATCTCAACATGGAGGTACTGCTCATGTAAGGAAGGATGATGATGGAAATTACAATGTGAAAAAACACATTTTAACAGGTCGTCATGAGAGTCACTAGGCTGTAGTAGAAGATGCCATGTTTAAATATTTAAAACCTGAGTTCAAGTCCCAGTTTTACTACTTATGGCACTGGCAAAGTACTAACACTTCTGAATCTAATGGAGGGGTACATATGATCAAGGTCTACTGTGTGAATGGATGGAAATTTCATAAGGAGAGTTTCTTATTTTTAGTTAATAACCATCAGTATCAAAGATAAAATACAAGCCAGGCATTGGTGGTTCACACCTGTAATCCTAGCTACTCTGGAGGCTGAAATCTGAGGATTGTAGTTCAAAGGCAGCCCGGGCAAGAAAGTCCGTGAGACTCTGATCTACAATTAACTACCAGAAAACTTGAAGTGACACTGTGGCTCAGGTGGCAGAGTGCTAATCTTGAGCAGAAGAACCTAGGCCCAGAGTTCAAGCCCATGACCGACCAAAATAAAATACAAAAGAATAAATAAAATAATAACAGAAATTAATAAGCATGAAGACAATCTTTCCTGTAAATTCTATATCAAGGGTAATTGTACTCAACATTGGTGCCTGGTTTGAAAACTGCAGGATGTTATGCAAATGCCATATACCTCTATTATGACTGTCTCCTGACAAGATGTTGGCATAAGGGATTTTTACAGTATGATTGTGGGGGAAGGATAGGAAACCTCTTTTGCCAAGGGCAATTTGGATATTTATATCAGTATTCACAGGCTATATACAACTATCAACACAGGCAAATAGCTGTGGACAGCTGATGAGACACTTACCAGGAACATACATGTTTAGCATACATGTCTATCCCATCATGAAGCAAATGATTTCATGGGCTGAATAGATTTGCGCATCCCCTACCCTTGGATGGGTTTACTGACTATGGCTAGGTTATATACAATATCAAACCTACATAGTTTTTGCAATGCAATTTAGAGGTATTGATATGATCTTCTCTTCCTATCAGGAGTAGTTCTAGACAGAAGCAGAATTTATGGAGGATTTTAATGTGCAGAAACACACTTTAAAAATGCTTATAGGCCAGCAGCAGAGAGTCCTAAAGAATTAAAAAGGCTTATTCTATTAATGCTTTTGGAGGTTGGTGGTAGAGGAGTAAGGAACCTGAGATGGGGGTGTGGAGCACAAGCACATGTGTATACACTAACATTTTCTTTCTTCCTTTTCTCCCTTCCTCCTTCATTTGTTCAACCTTCCCGCCTTCCCTCCCTCCCTCCCTTCTTTCTTTTCTTTTTTCTTTCCTTCCTTCCTTTTTCCTTTCTTTCTTTCCTTCCTCCATCTCTCTCCTTTTTCCACCCTCCTTCCCTCATTCCTTCTCTCCTTCCCTTCCCCTTCCTCTCTCTTTGTCCTCCTTCCCCTTTTTTCTCAAAAGAAGTACAGAATGATTAATTCATATTTTCCAGTGATTCCTCCTTTAAGAGCTCCTCCTCCCAGATTTACTTTACACTAATATTTATCCTTGAGGATGAAGAGGTCTTGAGAATCCTATTCTGGGCAAGCTCCTTTCATGACGGGACATTTTGAGAAACTGCATGCCAGGAAGAAAGTTCTTCTCTGATACTAAGGAGTGTTTATGAGCTGGTTCCACGCTCATTACCAGCACTGTACTGTTCAAGATACCCTGCTAAGCAGCAAATTTATTTCCACAGGAGGGACGATAAGGCTAAGGACAGACTCATAGTTGCTCATTCATTAAATCTATCTTGCTAGAAATAAGAACTTTTTCTTTTATAAAGACAATCCTTGTGCTGAACTGAAGCTAAAGTGGCTCATCAATCATGCTGCATTATAAGAATGGCACAAGTAACACTATCATCAAAAACAAGAAAGAAAGGAGGAATGTAAGTGGCTATCTACTGAGTTTTATCATCAGAACATACATGAGACTTTAACAGGAAAAAATGCTTCACTACACGTTTTGTGTGTAATGATCAAACTTTACAAGGCTTTGGCAAGGTAATTCTCAGTGATTGTATGTCACTAATTGAACAGACTTGTATACTACACTTAGAGAAAATTTAAGAATCTTTTCTGCTTCTCAGAAATAAGCACTGAATAGTTATATCCAGACTTACTGCCATGTTCTCCTCCTGAAATTTACAAAAAATAAACTTGGTGAAATGTGGTTCCTGTATGCTAAACTTGTCAAAGTGAGAAGTTCAATAGTCTAGAAATATTACACAACTAAACTCACTTTACA